TCTCTCTTCTCCTTCGGTACTTCTTTTTTCTTTAATGATTTTATTTTATTTTTAGAAAGAGGGAAAAGGAGGGAGAAAGAGGGAGAGAAACATCAATGTGTGGTTGCCCCTTGTGTGTCCCCCACTGGGGACCTGGCCCATAACCCAAGCATGTGCCCTGATCGGGAATCGAACCGGCGACCTCTTGCTTCACAGGCTGGCATTCGATCCACTGAGCCACACCAGCCAGATCCTCCTTTGGTACTTCTATAATGAGAATGTTGTCATGCTTCATATTTTCCCAAGGCCCCTTGAACTATCCACATTTTTAAACTCTTTTTTCTCTTTGCTGCTCCGATTGTGTGGTTTTTGCTGCCTTATCTTCTAAATCATTGATTTGATCTTCTGCTACATCTAACCTACTGTTAGTTCCTTTTAGTGTATTCTTCACTTCAGTATTGTATTCTTCATTTATGACTGGTTATTTTTTATGGTTTCTATGTCCTTTTTCATGATTACTATGTCTTTAAGTTCTCACTGAGTTCATTCATTCTTCCCCTAAGTTTCTTGAACATTCTTCTAAACATTGTTTTGAACTCTGTATCTGGTAAACTGCTTGCCTCCATTTCATTCAGTTCTTTTTCTGGAGATTTCTCCTCTTTTTTCAGTGGAGGCATGTTTCTTTGTCTCCCATTTTGGTGACCTCTCTGCATTTGTTTCTGTGTATTAGTTTGATCTGTTGTCTTCCAGTCTTGGACTTATGTAGTAGGTGTCCTGCGGGAACATTAGTTCAGTCCTCTTGATCACCTGAGCTGGGTGCTCCACGAATGTCGCTCGCATGGGTTATATGAGCCCTTCTTTTGTATTGAGTCTTGATTATTGTTGGCCTGTCTGTGCATTGGTTCAACCCTCAGTCTTCCTGACTGTGAGGATCAACCCTGACCACAGTGTATGAGCTGCTGTGCAGGTGCTGACCACACAAAAGAGAATTCACTTCAGCAGGGCCTGGTGCCTGCTGACCTCTCCCTTTGGAAGTGCAACTTGTGGAGTTAATTGGATCCTGCCCTGATGCTGTCTGAAGCTCATCACTGGGTGTATTGGTTCTGGGACCTATTGGGATGGTCTCTGGTGAGGCTCAATGTCACACACTGCCTGTAACTGGCCCTGGGCAACCTGTTTGGAACTACAAAACAATCCAAAGTTTGTGGCTGCCTATGCTGGGCCTTGGTGTGCATGGGAAGGACCAAGCTGTGTACCAAGGCTGGCTTCCAACAGCACCGAGTCTAGTGACAGTTCAGTAAAAGGCCCAAAGCACCCTGAGATCCACCTCTGCCTGCCTTTACCTCCCAGTTGGCTTTTAGACTTAGCCACTGAAAGAGGTTCTAGCAGTACTCAAGTTGCTTGAGGAAAGTTCTCATTGAGTCACCAGGTAGGGGTGTGTGGTGTTCACCAGACTGATACAGGTTCAATCTCGGTGTCTGTGATGGGTCTCTGGCCACTCAGGAAAAGTCCCAGGGTATATCAAGTCTAGCTGCCACTGCTGGGTGCCTGCATACCTTTGTGGTGGGGTGGGGTCTCAGGAAATCTTCAGGGTGAGGCCTCCAGAGTTTATCAGGCCCAAACAGACCAATATTTGGCTGTGTGAAGGGAGAGCTCTGTACCAGTCAGGTGAGTGAGGGAAAGATGCCCCCCTAACTTAGAGCCACACAACTCAGCCTGTTCAAGATCCTGGCAGGAGCCAGAGCTCAGCAGGCAGTCCAATCAGGAGTTGGGAGGGTGGGGCTTGTGTATCTCCTCTGAGGGGGAGTTCTGGTCAGGCTTGGGGGAAGGAGGGAGGAGTGGCCCCTGTCCCAGAATCACACAACTCATTCATTGACACCCAGAGTCTGCCTGCACCTCTACACCCCTGCCTAAGCAGCTGATTCCTCAACAGGGTATGAGCTCTGCAGGGTAGGGTAACAGGGAATCCAGAGGGTGTGGCTATTGCATTCCCCCAGGCAGATGCCATAAGGAGGGGAGTAGTCCACCCAAGAAAGATGGTGTCTGTGGTGTGGGATAGGGCTCAGCACAGGGATCCTGGCGTCTGTCCCTTCAGCTCTCTCCCCAGAGCCACAAACCCCAGTTTCTCCTCACATGACTCTAGTCTGCTCTGCCTTCCCTCCTCCAGAGCCTAGACTGAGTGGCTGTGGATGAGGTTTTGTGTGCTGGCCCTTTAAGAGGGTGCCTGTTTTTCCAGCAGACTCCTTTTCCCCTGGCAGTCAGACTCCCCACTGATTTACACAGCTAGATATTAAGTGGGTTTTCTTCCCAGCTCTGGTCCTCTGGACTGGGAGCCAAGCATGGGGTTGAGACGTGCTTCTCAGGGAGAACCTTTGCAGCTGAGATATCCCTCCAGATTCTGAGCCCTACCCCATAGTTGCATGGTCAGCCCTTTTTGCCTCCTACCCTTCTTACCAGTCTTAATGTGGCTTCTTCTGTAAATCCTTGGGTATGAGACTTCTGTTCAGCTAGTATTTGATTTGCTATTCAGGTTGATTGTTCTATATTTTAGTTGTAATTCCATTTTGATCCTGGGAGGTGGTGAGTATACCATCTACCTACTGTGCTGCCTTCTTGGATTTCCCCTATACTAAATGTTTAAAGAATGCCAATCCTTCTCAAACTCTTCTAAAAGATAGAAAAGGAGGGAAAACTTCCCAACTCATCCTACAAGGCCAGCATTACCTTGATACTGAATAAAGACATCCATACCACAAGAAAAAAATTACTGACCAATATCCTTTATCAATATGAATTCAAAAATCCTCAAAAGAATTTTAGCAAAGTAAATCCAGGAACATTATAAATATTGTATTCCATGTCCAGGTAGGAATTATTACAGGAATGCCATGATGATCCAACATAATAAAAGTTGTTAATCAACACCACATTAATGAATGAAAAAGAAAAACCCACATGATCATATCAGTTGATGCAGAAAAACATTCAACAAAGTCCAATAATCATTGATTTAAAAAAAAAACACAAAAACTAGGAATAGAAGGACATTTCCTCAATATAATAAAAGGGCACTTAGGAAATGCCTGAAGCTAATGTCATACTCAATGGTGGAAGACTGAAAACTTTTCCTCTAACATCAGGAACAAGATAAGAATGCTTGCCTTAACTGATTCTATTCAAGACTGTAATGGAAATCAATGATGTCAGAAACAACGAGGTAAGAAAAAGAAATAAATAAAAGACATCAGAATTGGAAAGGAAGAGGTAAAACTATCTCTATTCTCAGGTGATATAATGCTATATATTAGAAATTCCTAAAGAATCCACAAAACACTAATAAAGTTCATAAACAAATTCAACAAGTTAACAATTCTATTTAAAATAGCATCAAAAGAAATAAAATACATAGGAATAAATTTAGCCGAGGAGGTACAAATCTTGTGCACTGAAAACTATAAAGAATTGCTGAAAGAAATTAAAGATGACTTAAAAATGGAAAGATATCAGCACTCATGAATTGGAAGTCTTAATATTGTTAAGATGGCAATTCTACTCCAAGTCATCGACAGATTCAATATAATTGCTATCACAGTCCCAATAATTTGTTTTGCAGAAATGTAAAAGCCAATCTTAAATTCAAATGGAACTTCAAGAGACTTTGAATAGACAAAATAACCTTGAAAATGAAAAAGAGTTGGAGGACTCACACTTTCCTATTTCAAAACTTAGTATAAACCTGCAGTTATCAAAACTATGTGGTGCTAGAATAAGGACAGATGCATAGACCAATGGAATGAAAGTAAGAGTCCATAAATAAAGCCATAATTCTATTCATGGGTATGTACTCCCAAAGAACTGAAACAGGTGTTCAATTAGAACCCTGAACAGCAGGGGTCCCCAAGCTTTTTGGCACCAGGGACCAGTTTCCGTGGAAGACAATTTTTCCATGGATGTGGGGGGCAGGAGAAGGGAACTGGAGGCAGATCTCAGGCAGTAATGTGAGCGAAGCTTTTGCTGCCACTCACCTCCTGTTGTGCGGCTCGGTTCCTAACAGGTCAAGGACAGGCACCCGACTTCGGTCCCGGGCCGGGGGGGGGGCGGGGGGGAGGGTTGGGGACACCTGCTGTACAGGAATGTTCATTGCAGCAATACTCACAATAGCCAAAAGGTTGAAGTTACCCAAACATCCATCAAGCGATGAATGGGTGCACAACATATGGTCTATCCATACAATGGAATATTATTACTCAGCCACGAAAAGGAATGATTCATTCTACCGGGGGGGGGGGGTGAATTATAACGAGAGCACTGTGTTTGGTGAAAATAGCCAGATACAAAATGTCACCAGCACTGTGTTTGGTGAAAATAGCCAGATACAAAATGTCACCTATTTATTGTATGATTGTATCTCCAAAATAGGCAAACCTCTGTGAACAGGAAGCAGGTACCTGTTTGCCTGGGTTCTGGGGGAGAGGAGAGGTTGTTGGCCAGGGGAAGCGGAGGGGGGCAGTGGGGAATGACTGCCTGATGGGTACAGGGGGCTCTTTTTGGCGTGGTTCCAACGTTTTGGAAGTAGACAGTTGTGATGGCCGCCCAACACCACAAGTGTATACCTGGTGCCACCGGATCATGCACGTTTGTTGCTTTTTCTGTACAACGCTCCTGTCCAGTGGAAAGAGAGAGCTCCCTCAAGGTGAGGGTCCAGTGCGCCGCGTGGGCAGGGTGCTGCCAGCGCCATTTCTTTGCAGGCCCACGCCCAGGCCCGCCGGGGCCAATGGGAAAGCAGTGACCTCGTGGAACTTATGTGTCACACAGCGCGTGCCCCACAGAGCGGCTGCTCCGTGGTCGCTAGGATACAGAGTAGGGGCCTGTGGAACGGCTGTCTAGAGAGGTTGGGACCAACTGGCGGATCTCACTTCACCGCACGGTACCACGCTGCACCGCACCGCACCGCACCGCACCGCACCGCACCGCACCGCAGCACTCCACAGCGCACTGCAGAGCTAGGCCCAGCGCCCAGCATGCCTGGTCGAAGGAACCGTAGACGGTCGTCCGGTCACGGTCACGGTCACCAGAGTCGGAACCGCACCCCCGACGCCAGAGCTGAGCTGCTTTTCTCCGTGAGCCACTTGGAGTGCCTCCTGCGGGAACGCCACTATGCCCTGCGTCTAAACTCTTCCGCGCCTGTGTTCCTCGCAGCCGTCCTGCAATATCTGATCGCCACGGTCCTGGAGCTGGCGGGCAACGAGGCCCAGAGAAACGGCTGCCGGCGCATCACCCCACAGCTCGTGGACATGGCCATCCACAACAACGCACTGCTCAGTGGCTTCTTTGGGAGCACCACCATTTCCCTGGTGGCCCCGGACTGGGAGTAGCTGCCCATCAGGACGAGGGTTCCCCGGGCCTCAAGCCTAGGGCGCCAGGCCTGCTCACAGCCCAAGCAGCCGGAGCCTGTCTGGTGCCTTGGGCAATGTCGTTGAAAATAAACTGTTTAAACTTTCAAGAAACCCACGTGCCTGCTTCAGTCACTTTGTCTGCATGGTGGTTGTGGGACAAACTCATTGGAGGGGTGGGGGAGGGGCGGGGGTGGGGTCTGCCAGGGTGTGAGGGTGGAGTCGGGGATGACGAGAGGAGCAGCCTCTCCTGGCATGGCCCCGGGTGGGAGAGGCTGGCTAAGGTGGGTGTGGGGATGGGGTATGGGAGACTCCCCCATTGCCTCTGAGCAAGTCAGAGCCCATCAAAGTTCCCTGGAGGATGGTGTTCATTGGAGTGGAGTGCAACCATAACTAAGGCATCGTGATAGGGTGAACGTGCAATGCCAACCTGGGTGCGGGATGGAGGAATGGACAGAGAGGTTGGCTTGGGGGACAAACAAGAGAGATGCAAATTCGAAATAGGGTCACTTGGGATCACTAGTTTAGTTTTTTCCTGATCCCTTAGAGATGCTAGGAGACACTCTTAGCAACCTGGGTAAACAACCTGTCACCTAGCAACAAAGGACACTTGGCCAGGCCCCGCCCCCGCCCCAGGATCCGTGATTTGTTTATGCTCTTTGCACCAGACCAGGCCCCGCCCCAGGAATCCGGTATTTTGCATATCACTAGGGCAACAAGAGGCCTCCGGACTTAGGTGCGGGCAAAGACGCGCGGCTGGCCCGAGCGGGACGCAGGATACGTCGCAGCCAACCGCCAGCATTGTTACGTCCACCCAGCTGCGTAGGCTCGCCCGGAAGCTCTCAAGCTGGAAATATGGCGGCGTCCGCAAGCGGCTTGGGTGGTGCGGGCCCGGGGCCTGAAGCTGGGGACTTCCTGGCCAGGTATCGTCAGGTGTCGAACAAGCTGAAGAAGCGGTTTCTGCGGAAGCCGAACGTGGCAGAGGCCGGCGAGCAGTTCGGACAACTGGGCCGCGAGCTGCGCGCTCAGGAGTGCCTGCCTTACGCGGCCTGGTGCCAGCTGGCGGTTGCGCGCTGCCATCAGGCGCTCTTTCACGGGCCAGGGGAAGCTCTGGCCCTCACCGAGGCCGCCCGCCTCTTCCTGCGGCAGGAGCGCGACGCGCGCCAGCGCCTTGTCTGCCCAGCTGCCTACGGGGAGCCGCTGCAGGCAGCTGCCAGCGCCCTGGGTGCTGCTGTGCGCCTGCACCTTGAGTTGGGCCAGCCGGCTGCCGCTGCCGCCCTCTGCCTGGAGCTGGCCGCCGCCCTGCGCGACCTGGGTCAGCCGGCTGCCGCCGCCGTCCACTTCCAGCGCGCCGCCCAGCTGCAGCTGCCCCAGCTACCCCTGGCCGCGCTTCAGGCGCTCGGCGACGCCGCCTCCTGTCAGCTGTTGGCGCGCGACTACAATGGTGCCTTGGCGCTCTTCACTCGCATGCAGCGCCTGGCGCGGGAGCACGGCAGCCACCCGGTGCAGCCGCTGCCGCCGCTCCCGCTGCAACCACAGTCGCAGGTACAGCCGCAACCGTTAGGCCTCCAACATGGACTCGGCGCATCCCCCGCTCTGCAGGCCGCGCTGCTCCCTCCGAATGCGGGCTCTGCGGCCGTGCCCTCTCCCGCAGTACTGGGCGCCTTCTCAGACATCCTGGTCCGCTGCGAAGTATCCCGCGTGTTGTTGCTGCTGCTCCTGCAACCACCGCCCGCCAAGCTCCTCCCGGAGCATGCCCACACCTTGGAGAAGTACTCCTGGGAGGCTTTCGACAGCCACGGGCAGGAGACCAGTGGCCAGCTTCCCGAGGAGCTCTTCCTGCTGCTCCAGTCCTTGGTCATGGCTACCCACGAGAAGGACACGGAAGCCATCAAATCGCTGCAGGTGGAAATGTGGCCACTGTTGAGTGCCGAGCAGAACCACCTCCTGCACCTCGTTCTGCAAGAAACCATCTCCCCCTCAGGACAGGGGATCTGATGACGCATATACCAAGTGACTTTTTGCTTGTTACCAGACCTCACGCATCTACCTTTGCATTTGGAGGAAAATAAAAGACATTGATCACAGCAGTTCCACTTTGGTTTAGCTTATTCCTCTTGCCACTAGAAAGACTTATTTCCACAGTAGTGTGCGAAAAAACCCAATATGATAGGATCGGAATAGAGCACAGGTCTCGCTTCCCAAAAACTGCAACATAAAAATGAGATTCCTTTTATCTATCCATTTCTTCTTCCACCCGTTTGCCCCGCCCCACTTCCCCACCCCCCAATCTTCCTTTCATTGTCAGGATTTTATTTTGCACAGTTGTCGAAATATTTAAGCTCTGTGGTGTTTTGTTTTAAATTGTGACTAATTTCTTGGTATAGTTCTGTATCTGGCTATGTAATCACCCCCATTTCTTCTTTGTTTTACCTGCCCCATACGTATTTGTGGGAATCATTTGATTCGTACAATCATAGCTATAGGCCTAAATTCATGATAAAGCCATTACGATATTTATTTGTGGTTTAGATATTCTCAATCTATAAAATGGGTATAGCATCATCTACCTGTCAAGAGGCAGAAAGCAGAAACAATTCTTTTTTAGTTCTGAGATGTATGTATTTATTTGAAATTGGCAGTGTACCTAGTGTGTGGGCTATGCCAGACAAGAATTCTACAGAGATCATTTGATGTGGTCCTTCCTGAGATAGTTGCAATACAAATGTACCCAGGTAAAGGTCAGGTTGGGTGGTGGATTGAGGGGGTGGAGGTCCAACACAAATGTGTGAGGTATGCATTGAAATTCACATTTACAGTTCTATTCTGAGAGGCACCTCTAATCCACATGACCATTTTTATTTGTAATAGGGATCTTTCTGCAACTCTTATTTAACTCAAATATGTAAAATCAGCGTGGTTCTTTGGTGTTGTGTGATCATATATATGCAAGCCAGTGTCATTGTTCCCCAAAACTACAATGGTGGTTCATTTTAAAAGACTAAATTGCCGAGGCTTTTTGATCCAAATGTCACATGCAAACCCACTTAGCTGCTTTTTTAAATTAAATTTTATTTTCTTTACAGTTTCAAGAGGGATAAAAAGAACTCTTTAGAGTATACTCTGGTTCTCAATCATTCAGCTTTGGGAAAATGCATCCTTTAGGCTGAAGTGTACAGTACTAATCTTTTGGGATGAGATTTCGAACACAGTTTGGCAGTAGATTTTTGTTTTGCATTTTTTGTGGGGGCGTATATGTGGACAGTTGTCACTATGAGTTAAGTGCCTCAAAATGGGTGGGACTTTTGGGGTATTTTCTACTTCTATTTCAACAGTGTGAAAGCAATAGGTAAGGATCTATAGGATATACTTATTTAAGACAGATTGAGCCACCACACCTATGCTTGCACTTGGTTGCCAGAAGGGGCCTTTGGAGCCAAAAAGCCTAGCCCAATTTACTTAAAAAGTGGTAAGGGTGCATGCTCCTTTGTGCTTTTGCTTTTTCTGGTACACTCCTCTCACCCTGGGCTGCAGGCCTGGCCTGCTGCCTTACTATCCTATGACAGGAATGCTAGGAATTATGTAATGTGACTGGTGATAGTATTTGGATTTGGGCTTAAGAAAAGTCCTCCTTAGGCCTCTGATCTAAACTCCTTGCATTGAGGAGATGGGCAGAGGGATTACCACAGAGGCAAGTATTTGGTTATACAAGTACAATTTTAGGAAGCACTAAAGACTGTTTTCCATTTGCCATTGCCTCATTTATGTATGTCCCTCAGACATTTAATAGTACAGATAGCTGGGCCAAGGTCATATTTCAGTGATTTTGACAGTTCTCTTGCTACATATCATCTTAATATCAAAACACTGATTTATAACATGACCAAAAATAAATATTTTAAAAGACATGGTCAGTCTTTTTAACTTGAAAACCAGAGGAAAAGATCTGCATTATTGAAATGTTCATTGACAATTCAAAGTTAACATTTAACATTTATAAACTTGAGACCTGGCTTGTGTGGCTCAGTGGATTGAGTGCCAGCCTGTGAACCAAAGGGTCTCCTTTGGTTCAATTCCCAGTCAGAGCACATGCCTAGGTTGTGGTCCAGGTCCCCAGTAGGGGACACGCGAAAGGCAACCACACACATTGATGTTTCTCTCTGTCTCCCTCTCCCTCCCTTCCTTCTCTCTAAAAATAAATAAAACCTTTAAAAACATGGTGGTAATAAATCACTGACCTTTAAAGGGTATTGGGGGTTCCCCTTTCTCCCCTTTATAAGGGAGTTCCATGATAAATATTTCTTTTGAAAAATATTTTGTATGGAAGTTGTACAAAGATATAAAAACATTTGAGAAATACTACACTGGAGGAAGATTACTAAGACCGAAATTTATAAATTAAGCAAACTCTGGGATAGAAGGGTTCTGGGTAATGTTAACTGGTATCTTTACTGTCATTAGACTAGACCACCAGTCCACAACCTTTTTCTGTAAAGAACCATATGGGAATATTTTAATCTTTTCAGGCCACAAATAGTCTCTGTTGCATAGTTTTCGCAACTTTAAACATGTAAAAACCATTCTTAACTCACTGTCCATACAAAAGCAGGTTGTACACAAGTCCAAATCCATGGGTTCCCGTTTGCTCACCCCTTTGCCAGAACCTAGAACATACTACAGTTGACCGTCGAACTGCACTGGTCCACTTATACTCGGATATTTTCAATTGACCAATGCAGTTCGAACCCACATTATTCAAGGTTCAACTAGCAATTGGGAATCCACATATGTGGAGGGCCATCTTTAAGTTACAAATGGATTTCAACTGCGTGGGTCTCGGGCACCCCAACCCTCCGAGTTGTGCAAGGGTCAACTGTACTCAATAACTTAAAGTAATGACCCTTATGAGAGGGTTATTAACTATTTTATGCTCATCATGGAACAAAAAAAATGTACAATACCTGAACTAGTCATTCAACTGCAGATTCAAGGAAACAAAAAATAAACCAATAGAAAGTGAAAGACAGTTTTTAAAGTTTTGAACAGAAATTACTGAGTTACAAACATCTTAAAAATCTATGTTCAATTTTTAGACCAAGAGTTCATTCTTTGAATATCCAAAAAAATAGACAAGCACTTGCTAACTCTCATAAAGGGGGAAGAGATATATATGGGTGTATGTAGATATAGATATATAGCATGGGGAGGGAGATAGGCCTCTAATATACACATTTATAGCAACTAATTACAGGTAACAAAATGAGAATGCCAATAGTGAAGTATCTACCACTAAATAAGGCACAAGACTCAAGGGGCTTCTCCATCTAACTTTCATTAAACACATGATTACTACATTAATTAAACTATCTTAGAGTAACAGTTTAATGGAAAAGAAAATGGAAGCTTTTCCACTTTATTTTCAAGTTTAGTATAACTCATGCCAAAACCTGATAAATAGAGCCTCTGAAAAAGTTAAATCAATTTTATTTATTAGTATAGATAGAAAAATTCTAAGTAGGATGCTAGCAAATTAGGCAAATTAAATCCAGATAAATTTTAAACAATTAATACACTATGACTGAGGGTAGTTTTCCCAGGAATGTAGCACAGTACTGTGCTAGAGCTTGCTAGTACTGGGTTGTGAGAGCCAATTATGCTCATGTGTTCCAAATCTACATTCAGTGACATTATACCAGCAGCTTGGAACCTGGTGCGATGGGAATATTTATATCATAGAAATCAGCAAATGCTACAGTTAAGGCCTTTCCCCCTAACAGCGCCCCGCTGTGTATTTTGCCCCAGAACCAGTTGTTAAACATTTGCCAGCACACCAGTGAATGTAAGTATACCTTGACAATAGGAAAGAAGATATGTGATCATATCAAAGATGCTCAAAAAGCATTTGATGAAATTCTGCAGCCATTCCAAATAAAGTAAGAATAGAAGGAAACTTTTAAAACATGATCTGAGGTATTTGTTTAAAACAAACACTCAACATTATGTTAAACAATGAAATACGGTATCCATCCCCATTAAAGTCAGTAACAGGATAGTTTTACTATATATACACACACATTATATACAGGGTCTGGCACAAATAATGCCCCTTTTATTATAAAATCTTTTATTATAAAATCATAAGCATGTAATTCTGTAACATAACAATATCATACTTAAGCATATCATATGACATTTTAGGTGAAATGTTCAAACTAAAACTATAAATGATTACACCCATCATATTACCCTACTAACCGCACTCAAGCAGGCATTACTTCTGCCGGACCCTATATATCTGTACATGTGACTGTGTCTGTGTGTATGTATATTAATATAGTGATCATAGATACATTTAGGTTGCTTGCTATTTCCTGCTTATCAGGTCCTGTCAGCATAATGTTATCAAGGTAATGGACCAGTATGGTGTTTTGTGGGGTGTCAAGATGTTTTAACTCCCTTGGGTCTTTGTTATGACAAAGAACAAGGAAGCTGACATCACCCTGAGGCATGAACAGTAAACTCAATATTACTCTTGTTCCTACTTTATAAATGCAAATATATTCTGAAGGAAAAAAAAAAACATTTTCCTGGTCAATAGTTCCATATCAGTTGCCCGGCTCTGTGTTAATTTGTTCCAGAGAAGATATCACATCTGGAATTGCAATTTTTTTTATCATCACCACCTGATTAAGTTTATGATGATCTGTCATTTTTCCATGATTCTTCTGGGTTTTGTAGTAGCCAAACAGGGTCTCTAGTCAACTATTCCATGTGTAGTCACTGAAAGACTTTTATGCAGAGAAAGGATGACTGGGGAAAGGTTGCCTTCATAGGCAAAAGAGGTTCATGGGAATATGGAGGTTTGCAATTCTCAGCCTCATCCATGCCTACCTAAATGTACCCGTCCCAGGTTTCAGAGTTTTACTCCTTTCCAGCAGTGCTGTTACCCTAGCATAACAGACCTTGTTGGGTTGAGCATGTAATTGTCTCTAAAACTCTGCAATTCATATGCTCTGCCCCTAGACTTGGTCTTAAGTCATATTTGCCTATAACCACAGGATATAGAAGACTCCTCCACAGCTCCATGGATATGTCTTGATTCTCCTTGTATGTTCATGGGTTTTCTTTATGTATATTCATAACATTTAATTTCATGTTCCCTATGTATGCTGTAAAAAGAAGGGCCATAAAAAGAAGTCATTCTACAATCAGGTGACACTACAGTTGTTGCCACAGTGACTAAATGCCACTGTCAATTTAATCTCCCAATGACTTCTTCGCCACCTGTAACTCATCCCATAGTATAACTAGTGATAACATGAGAAATTGTGATGCCACCACATGTCATGAATTACCCAACATCCAACCTTCTCCCCAAGCAAGGAAATTACGCCTACGTTCCTTGAATATATTTGCAACATAATCCTAGAATTCCATTTTGAAAGTCTGTTTCCTGGGGCTACATCTGGCACCAATTACTGTATGAGACATGGTTCCAATAAGAAACAGGTAACACTCAAATTAGGATAATTTGAGGAAAGTTTAATAAAGGTGCTAGGTAGGAAGGTGGGGGCAGGGTTTTACCATTTCTAGTCCTGGAGGGATGAGAGAGGGAGCAGAATCCTAAAGGAGAGAATTAGGTAGATTCGTGTAGTGTTTTACAAAAATGAACACAATTTTTTTACATTCCTCCTATTGAGAAGTGGAATTTATGTCCCTTCCCCTTGAATGTGGGTGAATGTGTGACTTGCTTATAATGAACAGAATGTCTTGGCAGTGATACTATGTGACTTAAAAGGGTAGATCAGAAAAGGCAATGTATTCTCTACCTTGTCAGCTGAAACACTCACACTAAGTGCCACATAAGAAGTCTAATTGCCTTGACAAAGAACATGTATAAAAGACCCATGGTAATGGACAATAGGGTGGGGACTGACTGAGGGAGGGGGAATGGGTGGGGCAGGGGAGAGAAACGGGGAGAAAAATTGAGACAACCGTAACTGAACAAAAATACAAAAGAAAAAAAGTCTAACTACTTTGAGACTCTTGTGCTGTGAGAAGCCCAGGCCTCATGGATAGGCCATTTAAAATTACTTTAGTCAACAGGCTCAGATGCTATCCTAGTTAGGTTAGCCAGCACCAGCCACCAGGTATGCAAGTGAAGATGCTGCCAGATGATCCCAGCCTCCAGCTGTCTAATCTTCCCAGCTGAGGCCCCAAATATTGTGGAACAGAGACAGGCCATTCCTGCTGTGCCATGTTCAAAGTCCTGACCCACAGAATCCATGAACAAAACAAAATGGTTCTTTTTACAACACTAAGTTTTGAAGTGGTTTAGTACTCAGCAATAATAACTGGGACAAGTAGAGAAAGACATTTTGAGGGGAACTGCGACCTTTAGTGTAGAGATACAGCCAAGTCCTTTGCAAGGAGGGAGCCCGTAGAATAAATATCCTGATTTTAGGAGCATTTTCTCAATCCATTGAGGTTTTGCTTCCCAGCCATTGTTGTCAGTTTGGCTCACATAAACTCACAAAAATTCTCTACAGGTTTGAATGTTTCTTACGTTGACATTTACTTGGCATAGTTGACAGGATTCCAAAGAAGCCCACCCAGGACCACCTTACAGACCCAGACTCATGCTAGTTACCAGTAGGAGTCCATTGTGCCTCATCGGCGCCTTGTTTTGCAAAGGGTAAAGTTGGGTGAATTTCAACTGGAATTCCAGACCTCCCTGTTTTAAGGCATGAGACCCTGACTTTATTTGAGATGTTATCTTAAATCCTCAAGGTGGAAGTAAGGGTTGACAGAACCCAGGCTAAGGCAGGTCTGGAGGGGAAAATGAGTGGCTGGTTTTTAACTTTGGCTTTTCAATTGAAATTGCTTTCTGAGAATGTGAAATGCAGACTGTACAGGTCTCAAAATAAAACTAAAATTAACTAAATCATGCTTCCAAGGCCAGAAACTCCCAGGCCCCAGCCCTCATTAACATTCCTGGTAGGAAGACTTGACTTGCAAGTGCATTACAGAATTGGGAGTATTTAACTAGAAGTGATATCAACCTAAAATAGCCAAAATGTAGTTTTCTTTTGGTGCCTAAATTAATTTTTTTGCATGAAAAATTAGAAAATGCTGGCTCTAAAACTAAACAATGGATGAGAAG